ATTTCATATCATATTCCTCCGCATTTTACGACCATCTCTATTTCTTTCCCATCATATTTCCCCTCATTCTTATTCGGGTTTTATATTTCACTCCTTTTTTTCTTATTTGCTATTTCTTTCTTATTTTCTTTCTTTCTCATTTTCATTTTCCCTCTTTATTTTCTTCCTTCTTGTTACTCCTAATTCTCCTTCTCATCCAGGTATCGTGGATAAGGAGGCGGGATTACCACCTCCTCACCGTTGGCACTCACCTCTACAGCAGCGACGACAGGTTCCAAGTTCGTTATATCAAGGAGAAGAACGTAAGTAGAGAGAGAGAGAGAGAGAGAGGAGAAGAGAGAGAGAGAGAGAGAGAGAGAGGAGAGAGAGAGAGAGAGAGAGAGAGAGAGAGAGAGAGAGAGAGAGAGAGAGAGAGAGAGAGAGAGATTTAAAGATAATGACTAAAAGATTTAGTTTAATTCCATTTGAGAGAGCTAGAGAGAAAGAAAGAGAGAGAGAGAGCAGAGGAGAAGAAAAAATAGTGTGATATGTGGTGTGTGTGTGTGTGTGTGTGTGTGTGTGTGTGTGTGTTGTGTGTGTGTGTGTGTGTGTGTGTGTGTGTGTGTGTGTGTGTGTGTGTGTCTGTCGTGTCTGTATATATATTTATATATTATCATATATATATATATATATATATATATAATATATATATATATATGTATTATATATTTATATTCATACATATACACATTATATATACATACACATAGACACATATACACACACATACTCATTTTTATACATAAGGCACATAATATACACATCCACGTACATACAATGCACACGCAGCGTATAATAATGAATCGCGATTCTGGAAGGTTCTGTCATGTGGCGATATTTTCCCCCGAGCATTGTGTTTTTTTGCACATTGTTTCGCACATTCCGAACTTTTGTCTCCGTTTACGCGAAGTCGTTGGCAGAGGCTCATCGTGTGTGTTGCTTTACGTAGACAAATAACTATTTTTTGGTGTGAAGTTAAGATAGCTCGTTGGTGCACTTATATTATCTCGTGCACTTAATGATAGTTGTAGATGCACTTATATTATCTCGTGCACTTAATGATACAGAAACGGATGGTGATAGTGACAAAAACATGGATGATTTTGAATAATGAGGATGGTGATGATTATGATGGTAAGGAAGAAAAATACTGATTGAGAGGATAATGACAATGATAATAATGATGATGATGATTATAGTAGATATAATCACAATAATGTTATTGATAATAATGGCAATACTGGTTATAGGAATAACGCTAATGATAATAATGGCAATACTGGTTATAGGAATAACGCTAATGACAAAGATTAACGTCATTATAATAATGATTATAATGGTAACAGTAATGATAATGAGGATAAGGATAATGATAACAAATCACAGTAACAGAAGTTATAGTTGAGATGATAATGATGGAAATTATAATGATTTCAATGGTATTTATCGGTATTTATCAACTTCATACTGTAATGTATAAAGAATTGTGATTAAAATGCATCACACTGAATAATATTACTTCAAAAGTTTTTCCTGAAGTCCTTTGAAACTGAAAATAGATGTAATACAGAACACATAGTAGACCAACCAATCACGTGCAGCGTTACATTTCAACAAACCAATCACAGTGCGTGTTTCATCTCGCTGACTGTGTTCCGAGCCCTGCCTTTCCTGATGCCAGATGTAGCAAAGAATTTTTTGCTTGACGTCTGTACCACGAGGTGGGTTTAAAAAAGGGGGGAAGGGGTAAATATTGGCGACCTCACCTCCTTCTTCACCTGGCTTGCCTTTAATGTAAAGTTAGATGGGTTCAGTTTCATGTACAGTTATATATCGTTTGTACAAAACGAAGCCAAGAATCAATGGAATCAGACCATACCTAAGTACATTTCTGCTTTAAATCCAAAATAACTGTTTATTTGCAAAGAAAACGGTAGTGGAAAGAACTTCTCAATGCTAACAAACAGTAACAACAATGATAAAATAACAAAGAAATGTACAAATCATAGAACAAAGATATACGCTTGGCTCCCGTTTTTGTCAACAATGAATATCTCGACTTTCCCTTGTCTCTGCGCGGAGCAATACACGCCGCGCTGGAATGGGCGGGAAAATGACACATTAAGATAATCTGCCTAATGGCCGAGGGAGAGAGAGTCATCGCCATTGCTTTAATAAAAAAAAGAGAAATATACAAATTGCCCTCAATCAAAGAGGATATGATTGTTGCAGTAATAGCGGCCGGCCAGGTCTGCAACCGTCATGTTTGTTGTTGACTAATGTTCCATGCAATAGGTCAAAGGGAGGTTTTGTGTGATAGGAGGGCGGTGCGGCCAGGGGATGGGCGAGGCTGATAAAAGAGGAGGGGGGGGGGGGGCTGGCTCAGTGAGGAGGGAATTTGCAGTTGGAGCAGTAGAACGGATTTTTGCGCTGGTTTATATAAGGCAGATAGATAGGTAGATATATAGATACACACACACAGATACATACAGCATATATATATATATATATTATATATATAATATATATATATATATATATATATATATATATATATATGTGTGTGTTGTGTGTGTGGTTGATGTGTGTGTGTGTGTGTGTGTGTGTGTGTGTGTGTGTGTTGTGTGTTGTTGTTTGTAATAGATAGATAGATAGATAGATAGATAGAGTATAGCGATATATGTATAATATATTAAGTATATATACTATATGTGTGTGTATGTATGTATGTAAGTATGCCTATGTTATATGTGCCCGTCTGCGTGCATATGTCCATGTATCATACGTGCAACATAATGACACACATAGACGTATATTAATGTCTGACAACTTCAGCCCGTAACCACGCCCTTTTCCGCCCAGGACTGGCAGCTCCACATCCGGTACGTGCAAGTGCGAGATGACGGTGCCTATGAGTGCCAGGTGTCATCCCATCCGCCCGTCAGCCTCTTCGCCACGCTGCGGGTCCTCGTCAGTTGTGCTGAAAGGGTTGCCCAGGCAGTGCCAGTGCTGCCTGGGAGCCTCTCTCTGCTGTTCTCTTGTAGTTTTTTTTTTATTTTTGTGTTATTCTTTGAGATATTTGTTGTTAATACCATCTTTTCCTCTTTCTGTCTATCTCATCTATCTAGATATGGCATAAGCTGTATCATTCTCATCTCTATATATCTACATTCTATTTAACTGCATCTAACATTCTATCCATCCATACTACTTAACCTGTATATGATATCGTGTCTATCTACTCGATTTTGGGTCTATCTATTATTTTATCTACATTCCATATTTTTTTTATATGCTATTAAACTCTCTGTTTGATATTATATAGTCTACTCTATTCTACTATGCACATATCCTGGCAATTGCTGTATATCTGTATATTCTAACTACTTTCATATTCCTCTTGGCCACGCTGTATGTATATATTATGTATATATATATTATATTATTATAGTATATATAATATATATATAGTAATTATACCTACTGTTATATTATGTATAATATATATATTAGTATATATAATAATCACAGTAGTATATACTAATTATAGACAATACAGGTATATATACTATATATATCTAATATATATATATATATATATATGTATATATCTATATATAAGTATATATGTTAATATAATATATATACTACTATATAATATTATGTGTGTGCTGTATATATTATAACAATACATATATAGTATATAGTACAATTTAATAATATATAATAAATACTACCCTATAACTATTTACCTTATATATATACTATACATATATAATATATAGTATATATATATATATATTATATATAACTATATATATATTTATTATATAATACTATCAGTACTATTAATATATACATATATATATTATACACATATATAGTATATATATACTAGCTATATATATATATAATAATATAATATATATATTCTTCTAAACGATCTTTCCCCTTTTCTCGTCGACTATTTATTTTTCTTCTTTTTTCCTCCTTATCTTCCAAAATTAACTTAATCTCCCTCTCAATTTCCATACAATACCTGTTTATTGTCTTTCTCAATTAGATGCCTCTTGTTGTTCCTTAATTTCCCTTTGTTTTCTTTGTCTTAAACAACGATATTATTATTCTTCCCTCTATTGCATTTTCCCTTTTCTCTCTCTCTCTCTTTCTCTTTTTTTTGGATTTATCTTTCTTTCCTCTCAATTCTAATAAAGTCTTTTGTTTCATCCTCTATCGATATAATTGGGACGAATAAACAAGCAAAATAAAAAATAAAATAGATAAATGAATATTAAGAAAACAATAACAATAACATAAAAAGAATAAGTATTAATGGCATCGTTATGCAAGAACAAGACAACAAGAACAACAAAGACACAAAAATCTCTATGACGTGATAACATCCTGTTTCCTTCTATTTCTTTTCTTTTTCTTATCTCTCCTTCTTTTGCTTCGTTTTTTTTTTTTTTTTTTTTCTTCGTCGTCAGCTAATTCCCTCTTTTCGTGGGCCTCTAAATTTCATTCTTATTCCCTCTTCGTATCCTTTCCGTTTTGCTTTTCCTATTACTACAATACTTTTCCTATTGCTTATTACCATTCCCTTCATTTATCATCTCCCTTTTCGGTATCCATTAAATTGCCTCTTCTCCTGTTTCCATCCCTCTCCCTCTCCCCTCCCCCTCCTGCCCTATCCCCCTTCCCCCCCTCCTTCCCCCTCGCACTACATTGTTTCTTTTTCTTCACCTCTTCCCTATTCGTGTCCCCTCTCCAACCCCTCTCACATTGGTCCTCTTTGTATCTCAGACCTTCTCTCTCCCCTTCCTTTCATCAAACGTCGCTCCCCATCCCCCCCGACCTCCCCCCGAGCTCAGATATCTCTTCATCTTCTTACTTACCGCCCTCCCCCCCTCCTTACCCTCTAACCCCTCCTTACTTCGCCTATCTTCTGTCCGTATGTCTTGAGGTCCTTGTGTCCCCTTTTCTCTCTCTCTTGTTGTCTCTCCTTCCCTCTCTTCTATTATTCTATACCTTCTCGCTCGTTTTTCTTCTTGTTTTCTTTTCTGATGTTTTTCTATCAATCTTTTATTTTAACTGTTTTTTTTCTTAACATTCCATTCTCTGTTTTCTCTTCTTCTCCTCCTCTCCATCTGTTCCTTCTCTCTCTCTCTTCTTCATCTGCCACCTCTTCTTTCTCTCTCGATCGTCTCCTCTCTCTCTGACTCTATTCGTCTCGTCTCTCCTCTCTCTGCTCTCTCTCTCTCTTCTCTCTCTCGTCTCTCTCTAATCCTCTCCTTCTTCTCGTCCTCGAAGACGTCATGTACAATCACCCTAACCGTAATACCTTATATCCGATTTACTTAACTTCTTACCCTTCTCTCACTAAACACTCCCTTTTCAAACTCATCATACTACTATCTCTACTCTCTCTCTCTCCATTCGTCTCATCGGGATCCTCCTCTCAATCTTCAATCTCTCAATTCTCCTCTCCCCTCCCTTCCTCTCTTCTATCTCTCCTCTCTCTCTCTTTAGTTATCGCTCCACTCGTACATCTTCTCATCTCTCTCTCTCTCTCTACGTCGTCTATCTCTATATATCGCTATCTATCTATATCATCTATCTCTCCTCTCGCTCTTCCTGACTCGTCCGCTTTATTCTATCTCTCTTCTCTTCCCTTACCTCCTGCCCTCCCCGCTGCCCTCCTCCCTCCCACGCTTCCCTCCCCCCTCTCCGTGCCACATCCCTACCTCCTTCCCTCCGTTCCCATACGTGTCTACTTCCCCTCACTCGCACTCCTCTCCCCTCACAGAAGCCACTGGTTCGGAGATCTTAGGAGGCCCTGAGAAGTACATCGACCTCCGGCTAGCTCGCTGGCAGAGCTCGTGTGCGTCTTGAGGGACAGATACTACTGTCAATCCTCCACAGAGCTACGTCTGTCTGGTAACCATGATGACGTCCATGATCATTACCAGCAAGAAGTAAGAAGTGCGGGGTTGTTGGTTGATATGAACCAGATGGATACGTAGCATAATACATACGCACATACGTAGCATACGTTTGTGTATGGATAAGACAGAATGGATACGTAACGATACATACAGGCACCGAAAATGGATATGATACATAGAAAATTCATGACGATGTAGATATAATGCCTGAATAGATAGGTATATAGGTATAAATAACGCATATACATAAGCAGTACAACACAGCGTCACGGCACGGGCACGGAACGCAACGTATACTTCCGCACGAACGCACGACACACACACGACACAGCACACACACACACACAGACACTACACACACACACAACACACACACACACACACACAACACACACACACACACAGCACACACAACACACACACAACACACATACACACACCAAACATAGCACACCACATAAACATAAACAAATACGAACACAAGGCATAACCTAAACACAAAAAAATGTAAAGTAAATAAACAAGATCGAGCGATAGATAGAAATGAATGTAGATAGACAACCTAACTGACAGATAGACAAAGAGATAAATAAAACAATAGATAGAAAAAATGAATAGATACTCAGCCAAAAATGACGACGAAGAAAACCTTTACCTAAAGCATAAATTGACCAGTTTCAGTCAATAAATGCGTGGGAATGACTCATTAAGACCCAACATTTAATTGATCCATTCGGAAGCGGAACAGCAACGGAACCAATAAAAGCATCAGGTGGATGAAATAAACCGATTAGTTATTGAGATAGGAACGTTTATTCACGACTGAGTTACTGTTTCTGTGTATTTTCGTTTTCTCTCTCTCTCTCTCTCTCTCTCTCTGTCTCTTTCTTCTCTTTCTCTCTCTCTC